GTGTAAACCCTTCAGTACTGTCCCCATCACCAGCTATTTGTGCCAGGGGTGCCTTTTTTTTCCGTCTGGACCTACGTCACTTTGCTGGAGACCTGCGAAATATTTTGGGTCACACCACTGTGTGTAACAAGCAGCTCCACAGGCTGTTTGCTGTGTTTCACCACAGCTCATGTGAGGCCAGATTGCTGATCAAGATAGTAACTCAGTGCACACAGAAGTTGCCAGTTGAGATATAACTGACAGAAGTTCAAATGAGAAAAAGGAAAGAACACTGAACAGAAGCTCCATTTATAAGGCAACAATTTGACCATTTAGAACATTTTTTTAAATATTTATCTGAGAACATGAGTTTGCAAAAAGCTTCTCAAGCACTAGTCTGACTTTTTGGATTCACCCTACTAACCAGCAGGTGCATGTAGTTGGCCATTCAGTCTTAAAGGGAAATTTCGGTTTATTTCAACCCGTCTCCTATCGTCCTAAATTTGTTTCAAGTCACTAGTGACATAGAAATAATAGTTAGCATGTTAGCCGTTAGCCTAGATACAGCCGTAGCGTCAGACCTGTTAAAACGTAATTGAACGGGCATCCTTTCAAGTGCAGAGTTAGTCCACTAAACAAGCTTTTTCTCCACAAAGACCGCCTCATATCGTTAGGATAAATGTCAGAGAGCATGAAAACGACATGTAAACGTGTTGTCTTAGCTTACCGGTGTGGTGCCATGTTTGTTGTTTACCATTTGGCTAAGGCTGCAACCGGTCCCATTCCTTGCAACAGAGGTATTCCTCTTCTGTGGGCATTGGGGTACAGCATTCACATGTAACGTTACACCACCAATCTCCAGAGCTAAAGCCTTCCAGCAGCCATTCCTCATCTGTCGTCCTCTACCTGTTATGCCTCTCTCTCCTCCTCCTCCATTCTTCAATTTCACAAAGCTCTTCATCAGTGTATTCTGGCTCAAATAAATAAGGGCGGCGATCAAACTCTGCAAAATCAAATTCCTCCTCCACAAAGTCAAAGTCTGGCAAAAAGTCAGCCATTATTCTATAAATCTTTCATAAAATAAATGAATGAACCTTTCAGGCTACTGTCCGGTTCTGCCTTGCAGCTGCTGCTGCTTGTTCTCGTGAGATTTCAGGCATGGTATGAGATCGCTGCTTGTTCTCGCGATATTTCGGCCACACTTTAGGAAGCAGATATAAATGGTAAACACACCGTAAGGTAAGACAACAACTCTGAAGAACACCTAAATGTGGAATGTTAGTATATAGGCTTTCCACATCGAGAGGCAATGGCCGCCCTTATTTATTTGAGCCAGAATACACTGACGAAGAGCTTCGTGAAATTGAAGAATGGAGGAGGAGAGAGAGAGAGGCACAACAGGTAACGTTAGAGGACGACAGAGGAGGAATGGCTGCTGGAAGGCTTTAGCTCTGGAGATCGGTGGTGTAACGTTACCTGTGAATGCTGTACCCCAATGCCCACAGAAGAGGAATACCTCTGTTGCAAGGAATGGGACCGGTTGCAGCCTTAGCCAAATGGTAAACAACAAACATGGCACCACACCGGTAAGCTAAGACAACACGTTTACATGTCGTTTTCTATATGTTCTCTGACATTTATCCTAATGATATGAGGCCGTCTTTGTGGAGAAAAAGCTTGTTTAGTGGACTAACTCTGCACTTGAAAGGATGCCCGTTCAATTACATTTTAACAGGTCTGACGTTACGGCTGTATCTAGGCAAACGGCTAACATGCTAACTATTATTTCTATGTCACTAGTCACTTGAAACAAATTTAGGACGATAGGAGACGGGTTGAAATAAACCGCAATTTCCCTTAAGTTGTATTCCATCCTGTTTTCTTCTTGTGAAGAAAACGGGGTATTGTGACAGCCATGTTTTCTGCTGCTAAATGGTTGCAAAATTCTTTTCATGTTCTGCAATTGTAATTTCAGATTTGACACACAGTCGAACTAAACCCCTGAAAATAATCCTGATTCTGAATTATGATTATGAATTATAAAAGATTATCACTGTCAGAAAGACAGATGTGTGCTCTGTTTATCCTGAGGTGATGATTAGTGAAAAGATTTGAAGGTGTAGTAATGAGATATATGTGGTAAGATACATGTACTCTTAAGAATATTTGACAATAAGTCATTGCAGAGGATGTCACTGGTGTTTGGGGTTTGTGGCTTGCAGCAGCAGCCAGCTTCCTGCTCGCTGAGGCTGGCTGCTCTCAGGGAGTTTCTGATCTCTGCTGATGTTTGTTGTTTGTGTTGTTTTGTGGCTTTCTGCCCTGGGTACACATTAGCTGTATTACAGCTGTCTGACGTGCACATACAGGCCACGTACGTCACCACCAACAATCTGGGTCAGCTGATGGTGTGTGTGTGTGTGTGTGTGTGTGTGTTTATGTGACATTTTGTGTAAGTACTACTAAAATAACTCCCAGGTTTGTCATTGGAACGTCTGTTGCTGCGGAGACCACTGAAGCCAGTTTAACATTCATTGCTGTCCTGCTAATATTTTAAATATTCTGAACTTCTATAACATGTTTACATGCCGCACTGTCTTATTTCCCCAATTCTGTAGTTTATTTCTAAATCTCTTGTTTTACTTCCTTATTCTGACTCTAATCCCCTGAGGTGCTGCTAATGCAGGCTAAACAAAATGTTAGAACCTGTTAGGCCTGCAACTAACAGGTATTTTCATTGTTGATTAATCTGTTGATTATTTTCACAATAAGTTGTTTATTCTATCATGTGTTTGAAAGTGGTAGAAAGTGTCGATTTGGATGACGTTTTGTCGACAACTGAAAGATATTCAGTTTATTGTTATTGTTCTTCTAATTTAACAAGCTGGAATAAGAGGAAAAAACTTCTCAAACCACAACTTGGTTATCAAATTAGTCTGCAATTAATTTGATAGTTTACAATTAATGGATTCATCGTTGCAGCTCTAAATCGTAGTGACTTGTCATTTCTCTTGTGGTGATTCAGTATGTGAGGATTCACTGATCCAACTTTTTATTTCCCAACACGAATCGGCCATCTGCTGATACCAGTGCTCTCTGATACCAGCAATTAAAATCTGTATACCTCACTGCATTGAATTTATTGGATTTTTTTTTTTATGTAAAGTAAAATAAGACCAGAGATTGGTGTGGCACTACAACCACACGGTGCATTTGTACAAGTGACAAGTCCTTTTTTAGTCAGGTACGTGCTCGTGTCCTGGGCCTAAAAGCCTATCAGTTTTGTTGGTGCTCTTTCGCTGTTTTTTAAGTTGTTGTAAATTACTTACAAATATATATATATATATATACTTACAAATATATATATATATGTATATACAGTACAGGCCAAAAGTTTGGACACACCTTCTCATTCAATGCGTTTTCTTTATTTTCATGACTATTTACATTGTAGATTCTCACTGAAGGCATCAAAACTATGAATGAACACATGTGGAGTTATGTACTTAACAAAAAAAGGTGAAATAACTGAAAACATGTTTTATATTCTAGTTTCTTCAAAATAGCCACCCTTTGCTCTGATTACTGCTTTGCACACTCTTGGCATTCTCTCCATGAGCTTCAAGAGGTAGTCACCTGAAATGGTTTTCCAACAGTCTTGAAGGAGTTCCCAGAGGTGTTTAGCACTTGTTGGCCCCTTTGCCTTCACTCTGCGGTCCAGCTCACCCCAAACCATCTCGATTGGGTTCAGGTCCGGTGACTGTGGAGGCCAGGTCATCTGCCGCAGCACTCCATCACTCTCCCTCTTGGTCAAATAGCCCTTACACAGCCTGGAGGTGTGTTTGGGGTCATTGTCCTGTTGAAAAATAAATGATTGTCCAACTAAACGCAAACCGGATGGGATGGCATGTCGCTGCAGGATGCTGTGGTAGCCATGCTGGTTCAGTGTGCCTTCAATTTTGAATAAATCCCCAACAGTGTCACCAGCAAAACACCCCCACACCATCACACCTCCTCCTCCATGCTTCACAGTGGGAACCAGGCATGTGGAATCCATCCGTTCACCTTTTCTGCGTCTCACAAAGACACGGCGGTTGGAACCAAAGATCTCAAATTTGGACTCATCAGACCAAAGCACAGATTTCCACTGGTCTAATGTCCATTCCTTGTGTTTCTTGGCCCAAACAAATCTCTTCTGCTTGTTGCCTCTCCTTAGCAGTGGTTTCCTAGCAGCTATTTGACCATGAAGGCCTGATTCGCTCAGTCTCCTCTTAACAGTTGTTCTAGAGATGGGTCTGCTGCTATAACTCTGTGTGGCATTCATCTGGTCTCTGATCTGAGCTGCTGTTAACTTGCGATTTCTGAGGCTGGTGACTCGGATGAACTTATCCTCAGAAGCAGAGGTGACTCTTGGTCTTCCTTTCCTGGGTCGGTCCTCATGTGTGCCAGTTTCGTTGTAGCGCTTGCGTTCGTTTTTCTTTAGTTAGCTGATTGGTTCTTGCCATAATATGAATTTTAACAGTTGTCCAATAGGGCTGTCGGCTGTGTATTAACCTGACTTCTGCACAACACAACTGATGGTCCCAACCCCATTGATAAAGCAAGAAATTCCACTAATTAACCCTGATAAGGCACACCTGTGAAGTGGAAACCATTTCAGGTGACTACCTCTTGAAGCTCATGGAGAGAATGCCAAGAGTGTGCAAAGCAGTAATCAGAGCAAAGGGTGGCTATTTTGAAGAAACTAGAATATAAAACATGTTTTCAGTTATTTCACCTTTTTTTGTTAAGTACATAACTCCACATGTGTTCATTCATAGTTTTGATGCCTTCAGTGAGAATCTACAATGTAAATAGTCATGAAAATAAAGAAAACGCATTGAATGAGAAGGTGTGTCCAAACTTTTGGCCTGTACTGTATATGTATATGTAAGCATTGTCAAACATAATACTGATTTATCTACACGTTCCTCCTTCTAACCATGTCCCTCTTCTCCCTCTTCTTTTCATCCTCGTCTCTACAGTCACGGTCTTCATCGGTTCTTCTCCTGTCGAGGCATAGCGCTGGCTGTGGAGACGTTTTGGAGGCGGGGCCACAGGGAGATCACAGTATTTGTCCCTCAGTGGCGTCAGAAGAGAGACCGACTCACAACAGGTACACATGTATACTGGGCAGTCTTTAAGTAAGAGAAGAGTAAAAACATATCACTGTTTTGGCTCTTTGCTATAGCACATTGTGTTTGTATTCAAAGAGTGATTAGCTCGATGTGCTGACTTTCAGCTGTGTGGGTGATTTGCATGTGTTTTAAAAAGCATATTGACCTTTTTATACACACTGTCCACAGGATCAAACTAAAGCGTGCATGCATGCGTGCGTGCGTGCACATTTTCTTGCTTTTCAAATTAATTAACAGGTAATATTAATATAATTGTTATTTTATTACAGAGCAACATTTTCTAAACCAGCTAGAAGACCTGCGGCTGCTCTCCTTCACTCCCTCCAGAGAGGTGTGCGGTCAGAGGATATCCTCACATGACGACAGGTACACACAGACACACGCACACACACAAACACACACAGTCCTAAACTTTTGATCAAACCAGACTTCTTTGAGGAGAGAGTCCACCAAATTCAAATTATTCATATCTAGACTGCAAAAACAACGCAAGCAGAGTTCTGTAGGCACAAGAGTTTCAGTCATGGAGCAGTGGGTGGAACTCCTTCAGAGCCAGGGTTTGAACTACTCTGTTATTGCTGGGCATTTTGATTCCATTATGAGCTTATCTTCCTCCTACGCAAATATTTATCATTGTGTCACTTGCTCTCACCGCCCATCAGCAACTACAGTCATACTGTATTTTCATAATGGATATGAGGAAGCTCACTAACCAGAGGACAGATTAAACAGATGCTAGTAAAAAGTGTTGTGTTATGATTGAAATACTTCAAAAACTGCTCTGTTTTGTGATTTTGGGAAGGTGTTCAGGCCTGATTGTGAGTTTTGAAAGCCAAATCTCTCAGTAACTTGTTTAAAAGTTAGTTTAAAAAAAAGAAAATATCAACTTCAAAACTCATGCTGACTCAGCAGTCAAGGTGTTCTTCCACTGGTGGATTCCCATCTGTGTGCTTAGCAGCTGAGCTGGGAGCGAGCTTCTGACCTTTGAACACAGGGAAAATCCTGAGCGTCTCATCCACACACTGTCTCTCCATCAGGTTCCTGCTCCACCTCGCAGAGAAAACAGACGGGATCATTGTAACCAACGACAACCTGAGGGACTTTGTTGACACCTCAGACACCTGGCGCAAGATCATTCAAGAGAGGTGATTGTGCGTTATATTTACACAGCTCAGTCAGTCATTCACTTAAAGGTTCCATTACCTAACATGATACTGGAAAGTCCACAGAGGCGCACTGCCAGCTAGATGACACATCATGAAGAGTGGTTTATATTTAATGATGGTTTATTTACATTTATTAACATTCTTGTAGCACTTTAAGGAAGAACTTAACATAAATAGCAAAAAAAAAGAAAAAAAAAACTTTAGCATCATCAGAAACATTGTCTGATTTGAGATTTTTTTGTTTGATTTAAAATAAAATTAAAAGTTTTCAAAACTATTTGATACAAAATATACAGACCATATATATATATATATAGAGAGAGAGAGAGATGACTTTTTTATGATCACATGCAAATAAAGTTGCAGCTGTAGTTTTTGCAGGTTAATTTTGACTTTTATTTTTTAAAATATATGAAAATTTAATATTGTTAGAACAATCACAGCAACACACTCATAGCTGATTTGGTGAAATACAGAAAACCAGCATCTGTCAGGCCCTACTGGTTCAACCTCTGTGTGACCCAGTCAGGCTTTATGATGCTGCTGTTATAGGTTAATTTCTGGAGACACAAGTCTGACTAATTCAGGCTGACTAGCTTGATATGTGTTCAGCCCTCCTCCAGAGGACGGCAGTGAATCCAGGTTGAATCATGTGCATCAACTTTGGACCACTGTGACAAAAGTCTCACTGTGACACTTCACTGTCCTAAAGCTTTTTCATATCTGAAAGTCCAAACAAAGTTTCACATTTCCATTACATCGTATACATTTGGTTAGTTTTGGTGTTACATACATTTCAGTATGTTAGCGTACTGAAGAACTATATACGACATATCGATGTCCTGTCGTCATTACCCACATGTGCTGCATCAGCCTTTACTGTAGTAGCGCACAAATTCAGAGAAGGACTAGTAAATTGCCACGTTAAAGACAGCTTGGAGTTTGCACTAATCTGGTCATGGACGAAGGGGAGCTCAAAATACAAAGGCTTTTGCTCTGTGCCCTTATTTGTCTTTATTGTTAAGAAATAAAAATTAAAATATTTCACTTTTTAAAATAGTTGTTTTTTTCCTTTTCACTGATAGGTTGCTTCAGTTTACTTTTGTGGAGGACCACTTCATGATCCCTGATGACCCTCTGGGGAAAAACGGACCTCATCTAGACACCTTTCTGCGTAAAGAAAAAGGGTAACAGGAAACCTTTTTATGATTTTAATGTTGTGTAAATATTTGCATTTATATGATAAATGATCGGCCTGTTGCACCTTTCACACTCTTCCTTTCTCTCTTTTATTCCTGTCAGAAGAGCTCCAGTCACTCCTCCCCCACTGAGACCCCCAGACTTCCGGCCGTCCTCCCAGCAGCAGCAGCAGCAGCAGCAGCAGCAGCAGCAGCAGCAACAGCAGCCAGTTTACGTCCAGGCCCTCCACTCGGCTCCTCGGACCCCCGCCTCCACGCCCCGGCCCCCTCCCTCCCTGATGCCTCACCCCACTGCACACTGGCCCCATTCCGGTCCCCCCGAATGGCACCCGCCCCGCCGTTCCCCTTCCCCTTCGCCCTCACCTCCTCCCCAGCGGTCGCCAGGGGAGACATCAGAGCTGAAGAGAAAGCTGTATGACATCTTCCCCGACCAGAAGCAACGGATCGACCGCATCCTCAGTGACAACCCGTACATGAGAGACCTGAACGCCCTGTCCGGGCTGCTGCTGGGATAAATAACTGGCTCAGCAATGAGAATCAGCAGACACACAGTACATATGCACACATATGCAAGAATATTACGTGTCAGCATAGAAATAATTTATTTTATCATTTCTTTGAGCCTGGAGGGAATGAAAAGTTTAACTTTAATATTATTTTAAATGAAGACTGATCATCAAACTGCTAGCTGCTATTGGCAAAAAGATTTTATTTTTTTTTTTAAAGATTTTTCTCTCCCTCTTCTTTGCTCATAAACTGATTAAGGTGAGCCACACTGGTGTCTACAGAACCAAAATATCAACAAATTACCATACGTGTCAAGCAGCAAAGTCTATATTGTTTAATTGGTTATAAGTCATTACAGATCTTTGACAACAGTCCAGAGGTTCCTTGAATGTGGGACCAGCACTGGGAGAAAAATATTTTGGACCAACAACAGTGAACTGGTCACACTGGTGACTGTGACTGAAGCTCAGCACATGATGGGTTCCCTCTCCAAAACCTTGTTTACCATCAGACTCAAACACCTCGTTGAATATCCAAGCTCTGAGCTTTTAAGAGGTTTAACTTGGGACAGACAGGGTTTGCATGTTTTTATGCTTTCAGAATTTTAGGTATACACTTGTTCTGTTCTGTAATGGTGAGTTCACTGATAGGCAGTTCTAGGTTTTTGAACTGGGAGCAGTTTCAGCAGTTTGGAGTCATCGACTGAGTTTAAAAGTACCACTGATTTTATTTTATTTATTCCTTTTCCTTGGCAGTGTACTTTAGGAAGCATGATGAGATCACCAGCATCATTAGCATCATAAAATCACTATTTGTGACAGTTTATGTTGGACAGAAATCTCAAAAGCCACATTTGTAGAGACACATCTGAGACACAACAAGAGTTTTGCAGATAACTACATTAAAGAAACACCTTAAAGCGTGTGTAAGGCCAGTATTTTAAAGCTATATTGATGGGCATTTCTGAGCATATGTAGTTCTCATTATTTTAGATTTAGTTTAGTATTTGTATTATACAAAATGTACAGTATATATAAAGGCTGAAATAATCACACATAACAATCCATTTCTCTAATTAAGGCCTCAGCTATACGTACTCAGATACATTTAAAATCTGATATTTTTCCTGTTGTTTTTTTTTTTTTTTTTTTTTTTACAATGAGTCCAAACACGTCAAAACAACTAGAGATCTATTCACTATTGATTCCCCTTTGATATGAGCACAGAGGAACTCTCTGTGATGCTCTAAACGTGTAAAGGTTTTTCTTCTACTCTTCAAAACTGACATTTCTGGTAGACCAAATAACACTGGGTGCTGCAGACGGCTCTGTTTGTCTGTGAAGAGGTGCAGCAGTACTAAGTTTCAGGGTAAAGTAGTGGGGCTGCTCCATTTCAGTGCGCCAGTGCACTGTTTCACACATAATGGTGAGGGCCGGGCAAGGTGTTTAAATGGAGTGTAATCTGTCAGCCAGCAGCAGCCATCACGTAATTTTCTGACAAAACAAACAATGCTGGCCTATAGGGCAAAAGCCAGGGTAGCTTTTCTAGTTGACAAATAATTGCCTACATGGACAGTGATGTTCAAAATTATTTTATGTAAGCCTGAACGACATTCATCAGTTCTGTCTTATCAATCTCCCTTGACTTGTTTGTGTTTGTTAGGGCTATGTGGTAGCAATGACGTATACACACGCATCTGCTGGCTCCCATTACTGTCAAATGGTGTGCAGACTCCGCCTACTCAGTGCATCACAGGCGTAGGTCAGTGTGCTAATGGTGTGGACCCAGTCATTAGAAAAAGCAGTGCTGACAAAACTTAACAAACCGGTTGTCCGCCATTGTTGTTATTTCTTTTGCATGCTCATTACACAAAGCAACAATTGACATGCTTGAATTGAGGGGATGACATCATGTTTGCCCAACACTCTGTTGTACAAGTCCACACAGATACACCGTCAATAGAGTTTTGAAAAATCCACACGTGAATAAAGTCTGTTTTAGTAACCAAAAAGTAGAGGAAAATATATGTTTTCAAATATATCTGTATACGTGTAGAAAGGGCCGAACACAGCACTGCCCATCTCTATCCCTTTAAAATGTTCCCTGTATATCCTGGCCTTCACGCCAAATATGACTGCTGAATCCAGATGTTTTTATACACCTCCAATTCTTCATAAAGTGTCTACCTAATTATAGATTGATTTTAAAAAAATTTTTTTTTTTTTTTTTTTCATAAAGAATCTGTTTTCCAGTCACAGAGTTGTTGTTTTTTTACATTGATGATGCTTTACTGTAGAGTTTAATGGTTTGGCAGAAATTGGCTCAATAATCAGAAGGAAATTAGGTACTATTGTATTTAGGTAGTCTTCTGCAGATAAAGAGTATTTGTAACATTTCAACAGATTATTAGTTGAGATTCAACAATTCAGCTGTTTTGTTTTATTCTGTAGATGTTTAACAGGTTATGTAGAGAGTATATGTGACAATTTACGACATTCTCAGAATATGTAGAGAATATGTAGTGGATTTTACACTAAAAACATCTGTAGTCAAACAGTTAAATAGTAATAGTTGAATCTCAGCTAATAACCTGTTGAAATGTCACAAACACTCTCTAAACTATTTGTAGGCAGTCTATCCAAATAAAGTGTTTCCGGAAGTTTTAGTGTATTTGAGTATCATCATAACCCCGACCCCAACATTCTCTGTCACTGAAGATGTGTTGCTTCTAAAACCTTCTGTTTTTAAGTGATCTCTGAAAAGCTGGGGAAGAACTCAGGTACTGAAACTTGATTTACTGCTGTGATAGTCTGTGACTGAGACGAGCATTTTGGATTTGGTTGAATCTGTTCCCAGCATCAGTTGTTCCAGTTTGATACACTTTGTTTTCAGGAGGATGCGGTCACTGGTTCTACATCAGCATTTTGTTCTAAGATGCTTTGGTTTGTCCTCTGTGGTCTTAAGGCAGTGCATATGTCAGTCCACTACACTACAAGAGTTTGGATTTATCCTTTGTTGAGTTGAACGACCCACTTCAATTTGAAATCACTAACCATACAGTACGTTTGCTCACCAAAAAAAACATCTCGCAAAGAAGACAGATATACTTAAGTTACATTTGTAATTAGTGTTAAATAGCTCAATTCCATGCACTGAAGGTAAGTGATGGTGTAGTGAGTAAAACAAGGTTTCACTGATGATTCATCAGAAAGCTTGTAGTGGGGGTTTTTTTTTTTACCCTCACACACCCAGAGAATGTGGGCCGCAGCTTGCATATTTGATGTGCATCTGAGTTTTGTAATATACACACACTTTATCTCCTTGTAAGAAAAAGAATATCTGCACAAAAACTTTACAAGGTGTTGAAAAATACGTTTTGTTCGTACTTGCTATGTTGTTGTTGTAAGGATTACTGAAGGATTTTCTCTTTTGTTGTATTATAATTCTTTTGTGTATATTGATTTCTTTTTTGTAAATACAAGCATTTTTGGCTACGGTGCACATAGGGTTTTATGTATGTGAAAAAACAAAATAAATGCGGCTGTCCCCATAAAACGTTTTGCATGGCTGTGTAGTGCTTACTGTTTATTTGCATATTTGCTCATCTACAGTGATTCAAATGATTGCTTCTTTAATTCCTGTTTCAGAGGCAACATTACTGTGACTGCCAAAAGTTAGTCATCACCCACTGAAAAAGTTTGTGATATTTCTGGAAATGTGCTCATGAGCCTTTTTTTCTGAGAGACAGATTTGAAGACTGGTCTAACTGATGTCTGTACAGTGAAATATCAAGCAACTGGTTAAGCTTAGCTTCAGGATACTGGTCCTGGCCAAGAAATACTCAGGCACATACCACCAATAAAACCACAAAGTGTCAGCTTTACATTATGTGTTAATAAATGAGCTTTGAAGTTGCAGTTAGTAGAATTTTATCATCTGTGTACGGAGGCAGGCTAGCTGTTCCTCCTGTACTCAGTCTATATGCTAAGCTAAACTAGGCTAACCTATGCTAACTGGCTGCTGGTGGTAGCTTCATATTCATTGTACAGACATGAGTGATACTGATCTTCTCATGTAGCAAGAAAAAGAAAAAGTACAATTTAAAACTATTCCTCTAAATGGGTTAATGGTGGTTACAAGTTAGTAACATTCTATTTTATATTCATGTCTGTTATCACGTAACTAAGCTACATTGCTTGATTTATTTTCCTGATGCAAAAGTATTGGGCAGTTGCCTGACATCTTTTGACCCCTTTTTTTTCTTAGTTGCAGCAAGGTATACCGTAACCCAGAAATAAGTGTTGTTGCTTCACTGGAAACAAGTCTAAAAGTCCGCAGCCATGCTAGCAGCTCTGTGAGGCTGTACTAAGCGGGAACTGCCCATTGGTTCGACAGCCCATTGGTCCGACATCCCATTGTTCCGACCATATTAAACTCATTGTTCCGAAGTCCGTTCCGAAATCATCATGATGCCCTGTGGTTAAGGTCTGGTTAGGTTTAGGCACAAAAACCACTTGGTTAGGGTCAGGAAAAGATCATGTTGTGGGTTAAAATGAAAAAGAAAGTGGCAAACAAATAAGCCGTGAGCCTGCTCCACCTCAAGCCGGTCGCGGCGCACCATACGCCTGCCGTGAGCCGTTCAGCACCGCGGACAGTTGGACTAATGGGATGTCGAACCAATGGGCTGTCGAACCAATGACATGGACCCGTACTAAGCATGCTAACATGGACACACCTCTTCCATCCTCATTTTTAACACTGGAGCTCCACAGGGCTTCATTTTGAGCCCCCTGCATTACTCCCTGTACACACACAACTAAACAGCCACTTCAGACTTGCCCAGCTGTGGTGGCCCTGATCACAGATAACAATAAAAAAGGGGTACCTGAAAGAAGCAGAGGACCTGACTCACTGGGGTCAGGACAACAACCTGCTCCTGAACCTCAGCAAAATTAAGAAGATGATAGTGGACTTTGGAAAGAACCAGAGAAGGAGCTACACCCCCTTGATACCAATGTGTCAGTGTGGAGAGGGTGGACATCTTCACATGGGTTACCTTGGTGTCCACATCACTGAGGGCCAGTTGTGAGAAAGGCAAGGCAGAGACTGTTTTACCTTAGACAACTGAGGAAATTCTGGGTATTCCCTCAAATACTGAGGAATTCTACTCTTGCACCATCGAGGGGAACAACACTGCTTGGTACGGAAACAGCACCAAACAGGATTGCGAGGCTCTGCCAAGAGTGGTTCATTCAGCTGAACATTATAGGTGCTACTCTACCCTGCACAAAGGATGTGTAGACCATGTTCTGCCAAAAGGCCAGGAGAATCATTAAAGATCCCAGCCAACCAGATAACTGTGTTTACACCTTGCTGAGGTTGGGAGGAAGGTACTGTATACACCAGGCCAGCACTGCGTAAGACTGCGCACTCATACACATACACATTGGGCAGTACTGTTGCCATGAGGGGGGGTACTTGGTCTGCAACGGTTTTTGAGTGGGTGGAACATGTCAGGTGGTATCCACATGAATGCCAGAACCAAAGGGATCTCAGCGGAACAATGCATTGGAACAAAATAATCAAAGTCATTCACTTCAACTGTCAGTGGTTTTAATGTTTTGGATGATCGTTGTATATTCATTATTACGTTCTTTAAATGCACAAACTGAAGGAACTGCCCGAATAACAATTTACTGGAACTGCATCTTATGTTTCATGTGACAAATTGATTGATTGATGGATTCATAAAGGCGACGCTAACATGCTAATGTTAAGCAGGTATAATGTTTACCATGTTTACCATCTTAGTTTAACATGTTAGCCTGATAACATTTGCTAATTAGCACAAAAAACATAGCACAGCTGAGGCTGATGGGTATGTTGTTGTCTTGCATTGGACACTGAATTCAAATTTTAACCTGAATGGGGTCACCAAAGCTATTACAGATTTACATGAGGGGGGTCAGACAACTTATCCAACAGCTGTTGAGATATTTCAGTCAAAACCACAAATGTCAATCTGCAGCTGGTGAAAGACTTGACAATGCATCCAGTATTTGATGAGATATTTTAGTCTGGACCAAAGTGGTGGACCAGCCAGTGACAGACCGACATTGCCATAGAGCTATGTCACCAGCTGCCCAGCTGGCATATTCATAGCACAACTGTAAAGTCCTGGATCCTTGCTAGCAGCTTCCAGGTCAGATTGGCCTACACTTACCACAGCTTCAGTAGATCCACATGTTACCTGCAGCACTGCACTTTCCCCAGGATGACTCTCAGTAGTTGCTACTGTCTGATTTGGTACTGTAGGTGTTTGTGTGATGGCTCCAGCCTTTACACTGAGAAAGTGTTGTTTTACTTGGTCTGTCACTCTGACTTCTGTGAAGAAACCCCTCTGTAATACTCAAATTGCAAACACACAGCTGATTGTCTGCATTGTTGTCACACACATTGTGAATGTGCTGGTAAAGATAAACTCTCTCACACAAATTCTCTTTCTCTGATTTTTGTAATAGGATGTCATGTGTTCAGTGAGCAACCCAAAAAGTATTTACATTTAGGGTTGTCTCTTTATCAAGATAAATTATTACCAAAATTAACTGTCATGCGCACTGACTGGTGCCAATCTATCTTTTAACCAACACCAAAAGTCAGTTCCTAGAGCGATAGTTGTATTTTCATCATGGCTCCTTTTTATAATGTGTGTGAAATTTGTCACTGAACGGTTTCAGTTGTGTTAGTGATGATAAATTTTTGCACATTTGGATTTTTTTTTCATCAGATTCTGTCACTTTAATGTTTTAAAGTCGCACATGTTGTCCTTCTCTTGTTTTGCATGGAAGTTTTGTGTCATTAGTTTTGATGGTTTGCATGAATATGTTTTGAGTTACGGGCATGAGCTTTTGCTTTGGTTACGTTCTGTCAGTGTAACTACAGACAGAATTTCACACGCTGCCCTCCAGTAACCCTTGTACCATTACATAACACTGGTCCTTCTGATGGTAATTATAACTACAGTTTTCCCAGTAATTTCTACTGAAAATGACAATAACAATATTTGTTTATGACCCCCCTGGTACATGTTCACAGAGTCACAGAATGTGTCAGACTCTCTCACTGATAAAACTCCGTGCTGTCAGTTACATACAGAAACACTGTGTGTAACAAAGGCAGATGGTAGTCTACAGCCCAGCAGCCTCCAGTCAGGAGTTTGAGAGAAACAGGCATCCTGATGCATAAGAAAATAAGAAAACTTTCTCCCACAGATACGTAACATGCCACAGCCTAAGTGCAGTCGGGAGTTGTGTGTGAGCTGAGCGCCCCCTACTGACTTTATTGCTGCAGCACACATGTAGTGCACCTGCAGGAAAGGTGCAGCTTTCTTGTGGTGGGGTGGGACACTGAATGCTACAACCGTGGGGTCACTGGTAAGGTCTTACCTCCAGTGGTATCTCTCAGTGCAGATGGTTTCCATGTTATCGCCAGCATCCTTGATCCAGGTATTCTGCTGTCTGTAGAAAACATCATTCAGCTCTTTTTCTCCATGATGACCAAAATTCAGTCTTTTCTTGCAGGCAGACAGATACAGCTTTGTGAATATTGATCATGGGACTGCAGTGTCCCTCCTGAAGATGTCTCCAAACACTGTGGATTTGATCATCATAAGAGAAACACAAGTGTAGACTCAGCTGAAACTGATCTGGAGAAGAGAGACCAACAGAGATATTTATGTTGACTCTCATATTTTTATACACAAAGGAGACTGACCTGTTGATACCTGTTGGGACTATTTATAGTAGAGATCTTCATAGCCTTGATTAAACTGGGAAAACCACTGAATGTAGTGGGTCAAAGTGAGACAGCCAAACAGTGCAAGTTCTCGAAAGACCATCACTGTGGTAAACATATTTTAATAGAAAAGAAACTGAAGATATGACCTGCTCTGATGCAAGTAATTACTGAGGTCTCTGTACAGATCATCTTTTTGTCCAAAACTTGACAAACAACATGATTTAGGTTTGATTTCTACAGATTGACATGTGGAAATGTAAAAAGGTCACTGAACCTGAAGGACCACATGTGTACTGATGTGGGGGATTAGGTACAGACATGACGACAGACTGCTGAGAGCCTTTTACACACTCAGTACTGCAGGAAGAAGCACTGAGCATCCTCTGTTTTCATCTGAAATATTCTCTTTTCTCAGGCAGCGGCCGTACCTCTGATGCCACCCTCAGGTCAAACAAAGCAATGTTTTTTCTCCATGTTTCACCCTTCCCACATTTTATGCGTGAAGTGATCATTACATCCTCACAGCATGGCCACAGACTTTTAGTCTTGTTGTATTTATGGAGGGAGCATGATTTTTTTTTTTGTCTTAAGCCTAGTTCACGTTACACGATTTTCACCCTGATTTTGTGTCACAGAGACTATCGTAATCTTTTGAGTGTGTTTCTGTCAGCTGGAGTCTCTGCGTTACAACCTGTGTGTGCACATCACAAGATTTCTCCACCAAGCCCTCGCCGACAGAACCCCAGATAAGGTGGTGACGTC